TTTTTTTTTTTTTTTTTTTTTTAAGTTTTAGTTTTATTTGTTTAAAAAGAAGACAGTGATATTGCATTGGCAAATTCCCCATAGAAACAAAGAATGGAACAAAAGAATAATAAAGGCACCTCAACTTTTCCTCATTTATGTAGGACAGTCTTATAATATGCATCCAGATATCCTCCAATCACACAAGCTGAAAATTGTTCCACTTTACTGCAGTTCTGTAACCATATGGGAACCAATCCTGTCTGTGTTCTGTGCACATCCAAAATTCCTGCTGAATGACCCGACGTGGGAGCGAGTTACCAGTGACCCAGGGCTGGGGCGGCAGGAGGGTGCAGTGGGGGGGGGGGGTGAGAGCCCAGGGCTGGGGTGGGGGGCAGCCAAAAATTTTTTTGCTTGGGGCAGCAAAAAACCTAGAGTCGGCCCTGGCTGTGCATCCCTCTCCGGCTGTGGCCAGGGCTTGGCAGGAGCTTCAGTCAGAGCTGCACATCCCTGTCCCGCAGTTGCGGCCAGCTCTGCAGCGTGGGCTGTGTGCCCCCCATGGCTGCACCCCCCCGGAGCCAAGCTCGGCCTGTCAGTCCCCCCATGGGACTCCAGTCCTCCCCCCTATCTAGCCCTGCTCCCTGGTTATTTTTAGCAAAGTCACGAACAGGTCATGGGCTCCATGAATTTTTGTTTATTGCCCATGATCTGTCCCTGACTTTTACTAAAAATAACCATGACAAAATCTTAGCCTTAGTTATCATAGCTTCAGATAGTAATTAAAAACACTATAAGCTGAACTCTACAGACTCCTCGGGTTGCATCAGAGTCACCTTTAGATCTAACGTTTCCTGGAACTGGCCGGTACACAATTTCAGTCTTCATCTCAAATTAGCACAGCCTCGGGGCTGCTCTAAATTGTGCAGGCTTGTACTAGTCCCCTAAAGGCCACTACAGTGGGTGGGGATCACCAGGAACTGATGCGTGCTCTGGTCACATTCATATCTCCCCCAAGATGGGAGTGGTTTGAGGAGATGTAATGGCTCTTTAAGAAGTGAGCAAATAATTCATAATAATTAATATAGCCAGTGAATTAAACTCTTTTCTGTTCATGAAGTATCCATGAATGGGCTGCAATTTTTAGTCTGTTTGCTGAATGAATGTTTTGTGCAAATATATTGCAACCTATGGATTTCTCACAATTCACAAACTGTTCACTGTGAATGTTGCTTCAAATATTTGATATTTGTCAGTCCCATTCAATTGTTTTGACTGAATACACACATTATTTGGAGTCTGAATTTTAAAGATGGTTAGCATCTGCATCTCCCATTGACTTCGTTTGGAGTTGCTGATGCTCAGAACCTTTGAAAACTAGCCCTTGGTAAAATGTGTTCCTTGATAGGATAGCATAGCTCTTAAAATCAGGTTTCCAATGTGAATACTTACGATTACAATTCAGAATTCACTTTCCACATACATTTTGCAATATCTGATTAACATATTGTTTTAAGTTGGAAACTTTGTTTGCTAGAGAATGCAATTCCAAAAGGGTATTGTGTATGAACACAATCAATGTGAAATTGTTTAAAATTTTGATGTAATATTTGTGGATGGGGGTTTTGGCACTATTCATCCTGCATTCACAGTGTGTTGGGAAGAATGATGTCTACCAATCATAAACTAAGTAGTGTAAAGGCTGTTCAGATGTTAGAGTCCTATGCCAGCTGATGCTGGGACTTGCCTTCTAAATCCTTCAATTATTCTGTAACAAGCTACAAATCATTTGGATTTGGACTCCTTGGCTCACTGGTCAGCTGGGGCATCTATTCTATGAGTATGAAAATAATTTGCATCTTGCACAACACTAAAATATATCATGTCATCAACCTAAGTCAATAAAAAAAGCATTGAGAGACTGCAGTTATCCAACATAAACATTTGCTATGAATGTCAAGTAGGACCAGAAAAGAATACTTACTGCTGGAAGAACAAGAGTTCCAAAGGAACCTAAATTAAGAAGGGAAGAGAAAAATAAAATAAAGTTCTGCCAGCAAGCCTCATTTTATCAAAAACATCAACATTAAAAAAATTGTAGGTCTTAGTGACTTGCATCCTCAGCAACAATTAACTAACAATCCTCACAGAGCATTCACATTCCTGCAGTTCCTACCCCCGAGCCTGACCCGGAATAGGTGGCATTCCAGGCTGGGGAGAAGATGTGTCAGAGCTTGAAGGGGCAGGACTACAAAACCATGCACTGGCCAGTAAAGCAGCTCCTTGGGGGCCTATATCTACTATTGCAAGTTGGAGCAGCTTTGTGCCAAGGCAAGTTCAGGCCCTCGTAGGTCCCAGGACCAAGAGAGCAGAAAGGTGGCATGTAATCCCATCTCTTCTCTCCAGATGTTCTGACCACTGCTCTAGCACACCAACGGCTATGGGCCAATATTCTTTCTTCCAAATGCTTCACTCCTTTATTTAGTTCTTGTGTATCAGTTTGGAAAAAATTGAAAAACTGAACAGCTATTAGTAGGGACAGGCATAGGGTGGTCTAAGAGGCACAAAATCTCACTCTTGGTGTTGTGCCAAATGTGTAGTGCAGTTCATTAGTTCCATTATAAAAGTATTTTAAATGCTTTCTATACTGGTGAGCTCTCTCTTGGATAGAAGAATCGCCTCCAAGCATTTCATTCAACTGATCCCATAGTGAAACTAACTCACTATTCATCTTTTGCAAAGCTAAAAAGCTCTGTCCTAATAATGGCCTTAGATCATCAAAACTAATAAGACAGTGAGCTCCATGTAAGCTCGAAAGCTTGTCTCTCCCACCAACAGAAGTTGGTTCAATAAAAGATATTACATCACCCACCTTGTCTTTCTAACAAAAAGCAAATCAGAGAAACCAACAAATAAAAAACAAACTCCCCAAACTGAGGAGTTGACACATCTTGTCTACTAAAAAGAAAGCAAAGAAGCATGCCAGTTAAGGGCTAATACACAAAGGGAGGGAAAGGCAGGACAAGATTCCCACCCACACAAACTGTTAGGTAGCATCCCTCTCTAGCATCCAGGAATGCACTCAGTGGTACACCAACTTAAGGGGCCATGGCCAGCAGATCAGAGAGCAACATCAGCATCTAATGAGCATGCACCATGATCCTGCTCAGTGGAGCAGCAAAGTGACCCTTACAGAGCATCACCTTGGCCTGGATCCTGGGGAATCCTGCTCTGTCCTGCAGTGGCAGGATTCCTGTGGAAGAGGGTGCAGCAGGAATACCTCTCTGCACCCTCATTGATTCAGCCATTGGTTTGGACCTAAAGCAGTCACACAGGGCCGCCCAGAGGGGGGGCAAGTGGGGCAATTTGCCCCGGGCCCCGCAGGGGCCCCTACGAGAGTTTTTCGGGGCCCCTGGAGCGGGGTCCTTCACTCGCTCCGGGGGCCCAGGAAAACTCTCGTGGGGCCCGGGCCTCCGGAGCTTCTTCCGCTCCGGGTCTTCGGCGACAATTCGGAGGCAGGGGGGTCCTTCCGCTCCGGGACCCGCCGCCGAAGTGCCCTGAAGACCCATGGCAGGGGGTCCTTCCGCCCCAGGATCCACCGCCGAAGCGCCAGGTCTTTGGCGGCAATTTGGCGGCGGGGGCCCCCCACCGCCGAAGACCCCAGGCCCCCTGAATCCTCTGTGCAGCCCTGCAGTCACAGAGCTTATTGAATTCATCTGATGACAACAGAGCTCGCTATTCTCTCCCACATTATCATCATCATCTTGTAGTCTGATTACTGCATGGAAATACAGAAGATGATGGAAAGGACTGAGGTCCATCAGCGGCACTCCCTGTAACTTAATTATATGGCGCAGGCAAGTCTGAGGGAAATGAGTACAGTTTTGCTTTACATGATGTGAATAGAACTGGTGTTACCCGCACAAAATTTGTGTATGGCTTCATGAGCCATGGCATTAAGGGGTAGGCTGAGTCCCCAAGGATAACTATAGGCATTTCAGCATCCCCAACGGTTATTTTCTGGTCTGGGAAGTAAGTCCCTTGCTGCAGCCGTTTAAACAGAGTAGTGTTCCTGAAGACGCGAGCGTCATGAACCCTTCCTGGCCATCCCATGTTGATGTTGGTGAAACGTCCCTTGTGATCCACTAGTGCTTGCAGCATCATTGAAAAGTACCCCTTGTGGTTTACGTACTGGCTGCCCGGGTGCTCCGGTGCCAAGATAGGGATATGGGTTCCATCTATCGCCCCACCACAGTTAGGGAATCCCATTGCAGCAAAGCCATCCACTATGACCTGCACGTTTCCCAGAGTCACTACCTTTGGTAGCAGCAGCTCAGTGATTGCTTTGGCTACTTGCATCACAGCAGCCCCCACAGTAGATTTGCCCACTCCAAATTGATTCCCGACTAACCGGTACCTGTCTGGCGTTGCAAGCTTCCACAGGGCTATCGCCACTCGCTTCTCAACTGTGAGGGCTGCTCTCATCTTGGTATTCTGGCGCTTCAAGGCAGGGGAAAGCAAGTCACAAAGTTCCATGAAAGTGCCCTTACGCATGCGAAAGTTTTGCAGCCACTGGGAATCGTCCCACACCTGCAACACTATGCGGTCCCACCAGTCTGTGCTTGTTTCTCAGGCCCAGAATCGGCATTCCACGGCGTGAACAGCATGATCTCCAAAGCGCCGGAGCCCGCGGTTTGATAGAATTACATGTCCATGTCCTCATCACTCTTGTCACCGCGCAGCCGTAGCCTACTCCTCGTCGCCTGGTTTTGCAGGTTCTGGTTCAGCATAAACTGCACGATAACGCGCGAGGTGTTTACAATGTTCATGACTGCTGTCTTGAGCTGAGCAGGCTCCATGCTTGCCGCGGTATGGCATCTGCACTGTTCACCCAGGAAAAAGGCGCAAAACGGTTGTCTGCCATTGCTTTCCAGGAGGGAGGGGAGGATGTACCCAGAACCACCCGCGACAATGTTTTTGGCCCCATCAGGCATTGGGATCTCAACCCAGAATTCCAATGGGCGGAGGGGACTATGGGATAGCTACCCACAGTTCAACACTCCAGAAATCGACACTAGCCCCGTACATAGACGCACACCGCCAAATTAATGTGCTTAGTGTGGCCGCATACATTCGACTTTATACAATCTGTTTTCAAAAACCGGTTTCTGTAAAATCGGAATAATCCTGTAGTGTAGACATGAAAAGAAACATTTAACAAATATGACCTGAAGTGAAACACTGAGCTTCCAAAATGATTGGTGTTCGTATTGTCAGCCAGTACATGTATGTTGGGGTCTCCCTGAGACTCTTCCACTCAGTTCCCCAAGAACTCAGTTTGACTCCAGTCTCATCACTCAGTTTCCTTTATTTGGCATACAGCAAAGCTACTCTGAGCTGATTAGACTAAAGCATGAGGGGCCCGGGGATAGGGCATACCACATATCCAAAGTTACACAGCAAACCTCTCCCTTCCACTACATTTACACATCTCATTGCATTAACTATACACTGCATAACACATTTTGTGATTGGCTTAGTTACTTTGTAGGAACCGATCCCTGTACAGCATGCTCTGTACAGTTCTGCCTCTTATCTTACTAATCCATTTACTTATCTTAGCACAAATATTCCGTTTTCAGCCTGCTAATTAATTTACCCACTGTATTCCAAGAAATAAGGCCTCCCCCATGTTTAATTCAGTTAGCCTACATTCCTACAATGTGTTAGGCATAGTAAATACCACATTAATATAATATATATTACACCCCTAAAGTGTTGGGAAGTTATGCTAAATTAATGTATTATGCTCTTCCCACAATTCCGTTCACCATATCCCACTACACTTTGCAAAGCTGAAGTCAGCTTTGGCATTAGAATCATAGAAGTGAAGGACTGGAAGGAACCTTGAGAGGTCATCTAGTCCAGGAATGGAAGGAACACCTGGTCAAAAAGGGACCTTAGTGGCTCCAGTCGACACTGCCGACCAGGCCGTGAAAAGTCCAGATGGCAGCGCAGGAGGAGCACGGGGCTAGGGAAGGCTCCCAACCTGCCCTGGATCCGCGCTGCTCCCGGAAGCGGCTGCCAGGTCCCTGCAGCCCCTAGGCACTAGGGCAGCCAGGGACTGGGAGGCTCCACATGCTGCCCCTGCACCAAGTACTGCTCCCCGCAGCTCCCATTGGTCGGGAACCGCAACCAATGGGAGCTGCAAGGGGGAGGCGGTGCCTGTGGGCACAAAGGCAGCGCACACCACGCAGAGCCACCTGGCCGCCCATGCACCTAGAGGCTGAAGGGACCTGGCGGCTGCTTCCTCAGAGCCGCAGTAAGCGCTGCAGGGACCCTGCACCCCTCTGGACCCCAACCCCCTGGCCCAGCCCAGAGCTCCCTCCTGCACCCCAAATCCCTCATCCCTGGCCCCACCCCCAGCCGGAGCCCTCACACACACCCCACACCCCAACCCCCTTCCCCAGCCCGGAGCCCTCTCCTACACTCCAAACCCCTCATCCCCAGCCCCTCCCCAAAGCCTGCACCCCCAGCCCTGACCGACGGAGGGAAGGAGGATGGAGCGAGCAGGGCGGGGCCTCTGAGAAGGCGCGGGCCATGGGCGGGGCCTCAGAGAAGGGATGTGACAGGGGTGTTTGGTTTTGTGTGATTACAACGTTGGCAACCCCGCTCCGGTCCCCTGCATTCAAGGCAGGACTATGTAATAACTAGACCATTCCTGACAGTTGTATGTCTAACCTGTTCTTAAAAACGTCCAATGACAGCGATTCCACAACCTCCCTCAGCAATTTGTTCCAGTGCTTAACTACCCTGACAGTTAGGAAGTTTTTCCTAATGTCCATCCTAAACCTCCCTTGCTGCAGTTTAAGCTCATTGCTTCTTGTCTTATCGTCAGAGGTTAATGGGAACAATATTTCACCCTCCTCCTTGTAACAACCTTTTATGTACTTGAAAACTATCATGTCCCACCTCAGTCTTCTCTTCTCCAGACTAAATAAACCCATTTATTT